CACGGAGTCTCCCGCTAAGCATTAGATAGCATGTCGACATCAAAATGGATCCTTGAAAAGGAATTGGCCTCGCACATCGGGTCAACTCGATGCTTTTCGGGGTCCTTCTGAGGACTGGGTCGGCTTGCCATTCCATGGCCCAAAGTGAGCGAAGTTCAGATTGATCTAAATGTGCGCAAAACATGTTGGTAGTCAACAAGGGCTTATTCAACCTATGTTCAATAATGTCATTTGCAAAAGACGCACAGGAATTGGTAGATTAGTTCTTGTTTTGCGAAGTCAAATGATTATATCATGAATAAACACAGGCATGTCAACGCATATCGTTGGGAGATGTGATTGGCAGGATGGAATCACAATCGATTTGAAAAGGCTTGCAGCAGCAGAGGGCAGTATCAAGGGGGCAGCAAGTTGAGCTTGCCCCTGTTGTTCCCTCTCAGTGGGTTGTTTTTGTGGCTGTGCAGCTGCTCATATCATAGTAAGTACAGGAAGGCCAGTCAATTGGGACAATGCTTGCTAGCTTGCAAACAGCAGAATATCCTGGATGTGAGCTTTCTTTCAAAATGCTGCTTTCCCCAAGAAAAAACACATTTGTAGTGCGTCGGCAAGGCCTCCAAAGCAATCCAGTATTGTCTGCCATAGATCGCAGTGAATGCTTTCTTGGTTGTGTTGCAGCTGGAAAAGTCCTTGACTGACTCGCACTTTTAAGGTTCAGGCCTCAAAGGATTGGCAAAATGGGGCAATGGTTCTCCTCTGAATCGTGGAAGCTGACAGACGGATTGAACAAAACCCTATCGCCTGTATTCAAATTGTTTGACAAAGGCTTGGAGCTCCTGGCTCTTGGACCGAAGCAGAGCTTTCTGCTGTGGTAGCCACTTTCTGCGATACCAAGCAAATCCGATGCCCATGACAAAATAGCCATGGGCATGAGGTCCCACTTTGGTATCACGGTTTCGGGTCAATTCAATTCTCCAGGACTGCAAGTGGTATTCCAGCCGGCAGATTGGTATTCCCGGCCACAAATCATATCTTCTTGCGGCCATTGACACCCCTTAGTTGAGGCAGGTGCGGTGCCAATTCATGTTGTGTGTCACAAAGTGACTGTATGGCTTGCCAGGTGTATGTGTTGTCTGGGTGACGTGATAGCTGCTGCAAATGACTCATGTGATGGAAGCAACTGCTTCCTCAAAGCCTCGCATGTTATTTGGCATTGCTGATTCCGCAATTAAATTGGTACCTGAAATGGCAAATCGGCCGGATGTGTTGTGTGTCTCTTTGCAGTGAACAAATGTTACAGCGCCATCTCTGCATCCCTCTTTTGGCCGCGTGCCATTGCTCTGACACATGCGACCTTTATAGTGCCGCGCCCTAAACGGGTTAGGTTCCGGCTCAACAGCAGGGCCCCCGTCTTTTGTGTGTTTTTGGAGAGTTGAGGAGAAGTGGCTGTCGCGCATGGGCTCGCGCTTGCCAAGTGCCCTCTCAAGGAAACATGGAACCTGACATTGAGTCCTTGTTAGAGGACAATGGTGTTGCTCCAGGGGCCCCTTTCAGGTTCTGCTTTTGGGAACTCGGCGGATTCATTGGTGATGTGACCTGCAGACAACCACAAAGTGATAGCTTGAATTGTCCAACAGTTTCAGCCCCCTGATTTGCCACCCGGCCTGCTGGCTTTGGTGGCTGGAACTTTAAGGGGGCGAACGGCAGTGTTGCCAAAGTTGCATGTTAGCCGCAAGGCTACAACTCCTGGTACGACCTGGAGTGTTCTGAGGCCATGAATGCCACCCGGCGATGTGACTGTTGCGAGAGTGACATGAGGCTCTAAGGTAATGTGAAGGAAGTGAGCAGCCAGACCATGGACCCCTCAAAAAGGAAGCAACATTAATAACCAGTCGTAGTTCAGAACCTGCTTGAACAGATGCTTGCCCCAACCCTGCTGAGACCATCCAAAGCCAAAGCAAGCTTTCCAGCTTTAGAGCCACCTTGGCCAAGGCGGCATTTTTACTTGAACACTAGAGGGATCGCCCTAAAGAGAACCACCAAAAGAAACGGCCCACAAAGAACCGCCAAAAGAAAACTATGAAGTTGCGGCCGAATGTTGTGCTAAGCGGGCCAAGGAGACTACCCTGCGGCGGGTGGCAGATGCCATGGTGGCAAAGGGGCTGGTGACGCTAGGATATCGGCAGCTTGGCGTGTTGGGTGTTGGACACGGATCTGATCCAGGATTTTCATCTGGAACGAGCTCACCCGCGAAGGTCCCTTCTCGGAAGTTCCCGTATTTCCTGTTTAGGCGTTCTAGTACTTGGTGCAGAAGGATGGTGGGGGATTGATGTGGGATGTACAGTGAGCTTCCGTTTGGGACTGCGGCTGGAAATCCTCTTTTTTGGAACTGACATGAAGAGTCCTGCCTTGGGTTCGATTGCGGAACCCGCTCCACAAAGGGCTTAGGCTGGCTGGCCCCTTTAGGAGGTGAAGCTCCAGCGGTCAATGGCCTCCTTGCTAGTCTTGAGGGTTGCATGCCGCAGGATTGGCTTCAGAAGGATATGTTTTGCGAGCAGGCTGGCAGACGCGCTTGATGCGTGAGCCTACTGAAAGAATGAGTAGACGAGCATATGACTCTCGTATCACAGCGCTCCTGTGCCAACAGCCGACAACTTGCATGAGCCAATGCGGCGATTCGGCTTTCACTTCGCAATTCATGCATTTCCAGCATTGGATTGGCAGCCTGTCTTGGCGCCATGCATCAGGCGCCCAAGGCGAAGGCGCGCCCGCGCTCGGGGGTGACCCTCCTACCCCACACGCCGAAGGCGGCCGCAAGGCGGCCCTCGCCGCCATCTGCGCGCACGCCGCCGCGGCCGGGGCCTCCGCCGCGGACCTTCGAGCCCCGCCGCTTTGAGCCCGAGCGCCGCTTTGAGTCCGAGCGCCGGCGCAGATCCCGGTCTCGCTCGCCGCGGCAGCCGCAGGCGACTTGGCACGAGGGGCCACGATGAAGAGCCCGAGGGAACAGCAGAACTGGGTGGTGCCAGCCTGAAGGAAATGGGCCATCACTTAGAACTTACTCAGATTGCTTTGAGTGTGATTTTGTTTGCCGACTGTCTATCCGCTCTTCTTGCAAAATGGTTTATTGGAGGGAAAGGAAAGTGCGGGCAGCAGCTATTGATCGGCCAGATCAGCACCCCCTCCAACTCTGTGAATCATTCTGCTGTGCATAATTCATGCCGACAAACAGGCATTGGAGTCGCACTGGATGGCGTCCTAGCCGTCTCGTGGCCTTGGCCTGTGCTAGTCAGCTTTAGGGCTTGCCATGGTTCTTCCGGTTCTTCCCTTCCGGCCAATGTGATCTGGAAGCAACTCAAACACTCTCCAAGGACCCGCTGCGCCGGCTGAGTAGCACGGTGTGCCGCATGGTGCGCTACCAAGAGCATCGGCCCGCAGGCCGCGCGGACTGACTAATCTGGTGCTTGCGTTCTCGGGGACTCGAATTCGAATGCGGGGGGGATAGGGGTGTGTATTTGGATCCTGGAGCCGGAGCTTATTGCTTTGTGAGCTTTGGAAAGATCACTTGCAATTCCAAGGAGACTGGACTGCCTGGCATTTTGTGGTGTTTTGTCTACTGGCCCTACATGCACTGAGATCTGGCCCTGACCCCTGTCCCGTTGCCAGTTTCCCTTCAAGCCAGGCCGACCGAAGCGGATTCTTTCGGGGGAGCAAGTGTTGCGCAGGTTGCTGTGCCAATCTCGAAACCGTCCTTCAGCATTTCAGGCATCTCTACAGAGGCCGAATGTGGCACTGCCAGCACTTTGGAAGGGCGCAATGAAGACATAGATTTGTTCGACGAGAAGGAGTACGTAGATGCCCTTTGTTCTGCTTTCCGAATGATACCTTTGGACCCAAAAGAGATGGTGCATTCAACTTGCGCGAGACGTGAGCAACATCAACGCAAAGCTCATGCAAAGTGATCTTCACGCAGAAACACCTTTGTGGGGTGTTGTCAATATGGACCCTTTTGGGACCTGGTGCAGCCTTGCAGACATCAATGGGTCACAAAAGCCCAACTCGACAGGTCTGGAGGTGGTGGACCAATGGCAGAGCGCAGGAGCGGAGGTGCAATGCCACATGGTGACTCCATCGAATGGCGAGCGGAGTTTGCTTTTGGCCCCCAACCTGAAAGTTGATCAATATTCAGTTCGGCCGCCAAACGGCCATGGGTAGCTTTTCCCATGTGGGAAATATCATGTTTTTAGTGGTTTTCCCCAATGGTCATCCCATGTAAGGGACCTTTTGATTAACCTCAACCAGATGTTTGGGCCACGCAGAAGGTAACGGAGGCCAGAGAACCTGCTTGGTTGGAAACCGGGTCCGGGTTTTTCGGCAAATGCGACCTGGTTTTGCGATGGTTTCCCCCAACAGCAACAGCTACAGGTTCCAGTGCTCCGTGAACTTAGTTCAAAAGTGTTGGCAATTTCTTGCAAAGGGTCTTGTGGTGCAGACCTCCTATCTGACACTTCATGGGGTGAATTCCAGGCAAGAGGTTCCTCCGCAGTTTTGGAAGTTGCGGGGAGTGAAATACAAGGCAGACTCCCCCTTTTGGTGCTTAGTCCTTTGGTGATTCGGTTTTTAAGAGCTCAAGAGGCCATGGCGCACCAAAGCGCTTGGTCCGCGAGGTGAGCGCCCAAGGCCACTATTGGCCATAGTAGGCGATTCTATTGGTCTAATTGGGAAAACGCAACCTATATGAACCTTAGTATCCATGTGGAAGCCAAAGTCAATTGGGTTGCTGAGGTGAGGCTCAAGAACCTCTTGGAGATGCTGCCGCAGGTCACCTCTGAGCAGCTGATGCGAATGGTCCAGGCTCGAGGGTCGGTTGGCGGGTGGCGGGCAGGGGAAGAAGTGGAGAGACCCCCCAAGCAAAAACATGTGAGGATGCCAAGCATGTGCCATGTTTTTTCTCGTAGTTGGATGCTTTCCAAATTGCTGTCATGTGCGGCCCTTTGCAACCCAAAGATTACCCGAGGTTCAGTTTAACACATATTCGTTCGCTCAAGACCAGAGGAAGGGTGTCAATGGAAGCTGAGCGACGTAGCCCGGAATTCTCCGTTGCCAGGTGTTCAAAGTCGTATGGCATTTGGTAAATGCTGCAGATTCCCATCAGCTCAGAAAAGTGGGGATCAAATCGACGGGAAGGAAGTTGACTGCGTGCGGCATGGCTTGAGAAGTCGTGAGCCGCAAGTGACAACATCGACTGGCATGCCATTGCGAAGAATGGCGAGAGGGCACCGTTCTTGGTTGCTCGAGGATTTCCGGGCCTCTAGGAAATAACATTGTTGCATTTCACATGCCTTTGTTGCGACCCGTCGAGTTCAGTTCAAAAGCCAAAACAGACAAGAACCAATCATTTGAAGAGTGCAACTTAATTTACCTATTTCTATTCTTGTGGGGGGCGCCGGATGCTCCTTGGGGCTGCCTGGCATGGCTGAAGAGGGCAGGCCTTGAGTGGCAGATCCCGAAATTTCACCACCTTGCCGAGCGATTAGCATGTGCACCACACACAAATGAAAGCCCAATCTCGGGCACAAAGACAAAGCCAACCACAATCGCAAACACAGAAGCAGCCACAACACGCACGAGCACATACGCAAGTCCAAACCAACACGCACAGAACCATAGACGCAAGCATGATGACAGAGACGAGTACAAAGGCAAACGCAAAGACGAGTACAAACACAAAGCCAAACAGGAACACCAACACAAGCCCAAGCGCATGCAGCACAGCAAGCACACGCAGAGACACCACTACACAAACACGCACACGCACACGCACACGCACACGCACACGCACACGCACACGCACACGGACACACGGACACACAGACACACAGACACACAGACACACAGACACACAGACACACAGACACAGACACACAGACACACAGACACACAGACACACAGACACACAGACACACAGACACACAGACACACAGACACACAGACACACAGAGACACACAGAGACACACACAGACACAGAGACACAGAGACACAGAGACACAGAGACACAGAGACACAGAGACACAGAGACACAGAGACACAGAGACACAGAGACACAGAGACACAGAGACACAGAGACACAGAGACACAGAGACACAGACACACAGACACACAGACACACAGACACACAGACACACAGACACACAGACACACAGACACACAGACACACAGACACACAGACACACAGACACACAGACACACAGACACACAGACACAGACACACACACACACACAGACACACAGACACACACACAGACACACACACAGACACACAGACACACAGACACACAGACACACAGACACAGACACACAGACACACAGACACACAGACACACAGACACACAGACACACAGACACACAGACACACAGACACACAGACACACAGACACACAGACACACACAGACACACAGACACACAGACACACAGACACAGACACACAGACACACAGACACACAGACACACAGACACACAGACACACAGACACACAGACACACAGACACACAGACACACAGACACACAGACACACAGACACACAGACACACAGACACACAGACACACACAGACACACAGACACACAGACACACAGACACACAGACACACAGACACACAGACACACAGACACACAGACACACAGACACACAGACACACAGACACACAGACACACAGACACACAGACACACAGACACACAGACACACAGACACACAGACACACAGACACACAGACACACAGACACACAGACACACAGACACACAGACACACAGACACACAGACACACAGACACACAGACACACAGACACACAGACACACAGACACACAGACACACAGACACACAGACACACAGACACACAGACACACAGACACACAGACACACAGACACACAATCACACAGACACACAGACACACAGACACACAGACACACAGACACACAGACACACAGACACACAGACACACAGACACACAGACACACAGACACACAGACACACACACACACACAAACAAACAAACAAACAAACAAACAAACAAACACACAAACACACACACACACAAACACACACAAACACACAGAAACACACAGAAACACAGAGAAACACACACACAAACACACAGAAACACACACACACAAA